TCGCTTGAGCCCAGGAGTTGGAGGTTGCTGTGAGCTGTAATGCCACAGCACTCTACCCAGGGGGACAGCTTGAGGCTCTGTCTCAAAAAAAAACTAATCTTCAGATTTTAAATATCCAGTCACAATAGTGGAAATAATTCTCAATGGAAATAATTCTCAGGGTGCTAGAGCTCTCACCTCTTCTTTTAGTTCATTCATTCATTCATTCATGTAAATTTCATGCATGCCTAACCATAGCTAATATTATGTACTTTAAATTCAGGAGGACGCTAAGAATTAATTAAAATTAGTAATTGTAACTCTCTATAACATCATTTTAGTAAAACGCAAAAGATTTGTTTGTTCTGAGGAGAAACAAGGGAATTAAAACATCATTTTGGAAAGCGGTCCAGGGAGTCTAAGAGTTTTTCTCTCCCTCTCCCCTTCTCCCCAATCTCCTTCCCCATCCCAGAGAAAGAAGCATCTGCATTCCTGCCTGTCCTTTTTTTATTATTAAATCATAGCTGTGTACATTAATGCAATCATGGGGTACAATGTGCTGATTTTATATATCATTTTGTGTCCTTAATATGCACACCATCTCCATACCACCTCCCCAAAACAATCCCAGCAGTCTTTGGGAGGTACTTTATGCAATATAAGCACAGAGTAACCACCTGTCCCTGCTGCTAGTTTAAAATATAAATATGGGCTCGGCTCCTGTAGCTTAGTAAGTAAGATACCGGCCACATACAATGAAGCTGGTGGGTTCAAGCCCAGCCCAGGCCTACTAAACAACAACAACTGCAACCAAAAAATAGCCAGGCATTGTGGCAGGCACCTGTAGTCCCAGCTACTTGGGAGGCTGAGGCAATAGAATCACTTAAGCCCAAGAATTTGAGGTTGCTGTGAGCTGTGACACCATAGCACTCTACTGAGGGTGACATAGTGAGACTCTGTCTCAATATAAAATAAAATAAAATATAAATATGGAGGGCAGGGCAAAGTGGCTCAGGCCTGTAACCCTAGCATTCTGGGAGGCCAAGGTGGATGGATTGCCTGAGCTTACAAGTTTGAGACCAGCCTGAGCAAGCATGAGAATTCATCTCTAAAAATAGCTGGGCATTATAGCAGGCATCATAGTCCCAGCTACTTAGGAGGCTGGGACAAGCGAATCACATGAGCCCAAGAGTTTAAGGTTGCTGTGAGCTGTGATGCTACAGCACTCTACCAGGGGCACCAAAGTGAGACTCTGTCTCAAAAATATATACATATATATTTAATAAAAATATGGACCTTCCAGGCAGCTTCTTTTTAGAAATATACAGCCAGCTCAGTGCCTATAGCTCAAGCGGCTAGGGTACCAAGCCACATACACCAGAGCTGGCAGGTTCGAATCCAGCCCAGGCCTGCCAAACAACAATGATAAGTCCAACCAAAAAATAGCGGGGTGTTGTGGTGGGTGCCTGTAGTCCCAGCTACTTGGGAGGCTGAGGCAAGAGAATCACTTAAGCCCAAGAATTTGAAGTTGCTATGAGCTGTAACGCCATAGCACTCTACCCAGGGCAGAGACTGTACCTCAAAAAAATATATATATATATTATATATTATATATATTTAATATATATGTATTATATATATAGTCTCAGCTGGAAATTCCCTTCTTTTACCTTATTTTACCCATTGTTTTCTCACAGGTTATAAGCACATGTCCTTGGCCCTTAACAAGACTGGCAGAAGCATTGTGTACTCCTGTGAGTGGCCCCTTTACATGCGGCCCTTTAAAAAGGTAAGATAGTGAGAGCCCAGAACTCAAACCATGCTGACAGAATTTAAGAACTTGAAAACAAAGGCGACAAAGATGTCCTAAGTCCAACTTTACTTAGTAGTTTGTCCTACTTCCTCCACTTCTCACATCCCCACTGCTGTAATTTAATTATAGTCTAAACACCATCACCTGGGAAGTCATCTTTGATTCTCCCCTTTATCACACTGTTTACATCTGATCCATCAACACTCGGTTCTTTTTTTTTTTTTTCTTGAGACAAGAGTCTCACTGTGTCATCCTCGGTAGAGTGCCGTGATGTCACAGCTCACAGAGACCTCGAACTCTTGGGCTTACAGGATTCTCTTGCCTCAGCCTCCCAAGTAGCTGGGATGGCAGTTATCCCCCACAACATCAGGCTATTTGTAGGTTGTAGGTGTCATTGTTTGGCAGGCCCAAGCTGGGTTCAAACCCACCAGCTCCGGTGTATGTGACTGACACCCTAGCCACTGAGCTACAGGCACCAATCCCATCTGCAGTCTTTCCAATACTGTCTCCAAAATATATCCTGAGTCATCCTACTTCTTTATATCTCCATTGCATCTATTCTGCCCTTCCAGGTTACTATGATCTCTCACCCAGAATGCTCTGACAGCCTGATCTCTCTGCCGTTTTTTTTTTTTTTTTTTTTGTTTGTTTGTTTGTTTTTATTGGAGACCAAGTCTCATTTTATCGCCCTCCGTACTGTGCCGTGGCGTCACAGCTCACAGCAACTTCCAACTCCTGGGCTTAGGCAATTCTCTTGCCTCAGCTGCCCAAGTAGCTGGGACTACAGGCGCCGACCACAACGCCCAGCTATTTTTTGTTGCAGTTTGGCCAGGCCGGGTTTGAACCTGCCACCCTTGGTATATGGGGCCAGTGCTCTACTCACTGAGCCACAGGTGCCACACCTCTCTGCCATTTTCCAAGCAGCATCAGAGTTACTTTGTTGAAGTATAAATGGCATCACGTCACTTGAATGCCTCTTCAAACTCCAAAGGATGTGGCTCTTTCCTTCACTACAATGGTTTTCTATCATTCAACAACACAAGCCAATTGCTACCCCAGAGCCTTTACAAAGTCTCAGCCCAAATGCTGTATACTTGACAGGTTTTCCGTTATAATTTTTCATTCTTTTTTTTGCAGTTTTTGGCCGGGGCTGGGTTTGAACCCGCCACCTCTGGCATATGGGGCTGGCGCCCTACCCCTTTGAGCCACAGGCACCACCCTAATTGTTCATTCTTTATCACATTAATCTGTTTTTTTTTTTTTTTGAGACAGAACCTCAAGTTGTCACCCTTGGTAGAGTGCCATGGCATCATAGCTCACAGCAACCTCCAGCTCCTGGGCTTAAGCGATTCTCTTGCCTCAGCCTCCCAAGTAGCTGAGACTACAGGCAATCACAACGCCCAG